CGCGCAACCGAACCTGCTGCCGCCGCCGCCTCCACCGTCGCCCCGCCCCGGCGGACCCATTCGCTCGGCTTGCCTCGGGCTCCGCCCACCAGGTCCAGTGTCCAGCCTTGCTATTGGGAGGCGCGGGTGGAAGTCCCGCCCAGTTTCTTCGAACGTCATTTTCTAGTGGTCCGTGCTCTCAGGCACGGCACGGCGTCCCTCCCTCGCTTTCTATTGGCTGGAGCCGCCCGCGCCTACTGGCCTGCGACACCGCGGGTTCCAGTGCTCCCCCGCCATTGGCTTGTGTTGCAGACTTGGCAACGCCCATCAATTCGTCGCCTCCACCCCTCTCCTCTAGGGTTCCTTCTTTTGACCCCGCCCCACGGCGACATCGCCATGGTAATTGGTCAGTTTTGTACTCCCTTCGGGGTAACGATTGGCTGCGCTTGTCCAAGGGGGCCGATCCCGATGACGTAGCACCCAAGGCGCGCTCATTGGCTAACAGGCCAGGGTCGAAGGACAGAGGGGCAAGGTGGGTTGCACGGCAGAACTGTTGGGAAGCAAGGTCAGGTCTCGCGTCCCAACAGGCACCGCGGCAGAGGAGCAGCCCTCTGATCCGGAGTCGCCGGCCGAAAACCGGAAGGGCCGGTTCTTCCCACAGCACCTTGGGACGACGCTGTGCCGGTGATGCGAACCCCTCCTTGCTCCTTTGCTACCCGTACCTCTTAACGCCCAAGCTACCTTTTGACCCACCCCTTTCCTTACCCAGCATTCCTGTGCCATCCTGTCCCTGCCGTTTCTATCTTTGGCCCATTCATTCTGATCCCATTACCCAGCATCCTCCGCCCCATTCATTTCAGCCTGGTTGCCTGTCGTGCCTTTGGCCCTTTCCTGCCTTTTCACTGGCATCATTTTTCCGGCCCTTCGCCTCTAATCACCCATCAAGTTTGGGATCTGTTCATTCCTGTCCATTACCCATCATGCTCGCGACCCATATTTCTCCATTTCTCATCACACCACCTTGGGCTCATTCATTCCGATCCATTACCCATCATGCCCTGGGCTTCTATTGCAACATTACTCATCATTTTGCCTTTGGCCTATTTTTGTCATTTACCCATCAACCCTAAGCCTTAATTACTGCTATTTCTATCCTGGTTCCGTTTATTTCTGCCCATTACCCACTAGACGGCTGGAGCACTGATTCTTGTTTCTTATTCGCCGTGCCCTGGGCGCCTTGCCTCCCATTACTTCTGCCATCTATCTGTAGCCCACCTTGACCTCTTATCTAACTCACCTCTTACTGGTTAGCGACCCTCTAGGGCAGGGTTCGCCATCACCTCTCACCTAGTCCCGCAGTGAATTCCTTCCCTTTATTCTCCCCCTGGGCTACCTCTGCGTTACCCATCATGCCTCCGTGTGGAAAACGGAAGACCTGGGAGGGAGTGTAGAGGGCCTAATCTTTACATTATCTACATTCGTACCCACAGGGCTTGAAAGACCAGCTCTAGTGTTAGAGAAAGATCTCCATTCGTCGTTCTGAGATAAGATCAAGGTCAAGCACGCGTCGTTCTGAGATAAGATCAAGGTCAAACACGCATTCCCCAGACAGAAAGATGTCCCTACAATAGCCCTCCGGAGGAAAGCTGCTGTAAAGATGTTTGCTCAAAGGACCTGGATGCTCACTGTGAGGCTTTAAAAGCAATCAGATTCTTTTGTCTAGGAGCAGTGGACTCCCTTTGATGCCTTTTGATACTTATAGGGTGTTCCCCTGTGGAGCGCAGGGCCATCTAAGGTTAAGACACTGCTCATTTCTATTGTGTTCGTGCTCATTTCTATTTGCTGTGGAATAAACTCATTCTCTCTCTTACTCCTATTCCAACATCAGAGATGAGCCCTTGCTTTTCTGTCTTCTTTAATTTCTCTAATTCCACACCCTGCTTCTAAGCACCCGTTCGACTGTGGGGCTGGATCCCACATCTCCACCCCTCATCCCCTTCACATCCCACAGAAAACACGGGGCCTGATCAAAGTATAAACTCTTATTTGGTAGGAAATGTTAGTGTACAAAACAGTAACAGGTCCCCTACCCCCCAAGCCAGGTCACCACTCTGCTCTGAGGGGGGGGGCATGCTTGGGTCCCCAGGTCCCCATCACAAGGGGGCAGGGGAGGAGGGCTCAGTAGTCTTCAAGGTAACAGCAAGTTCTTCACTTACGGCTGGTTCCCTCAAGGCACTTCCAGCTGGGGCTGCCTGTCTAGCCCTGGGCTGGGGCTCTAAGCCCTGCTTCCCCACCACGCACACATGGGAATGGTGTCTTCTCTGTTGGTAGGCACCATCAAGTGGGATCCGACTCAGGGCAGTAGGAAGGGTCTAGACCCTGAGACTCCTGCTTGCAGGAGGGAGGAGCTAGAGAGCTCTGGCTTGGGCTAGGGAATCCCTTTGTCCCTGCAGAAGAGGGTGAGGGAGGGGGTCTGCTGCCCAGAGGGCTCAAGTCGGAGCAGCAGGGAGCCTCACCGGGCCCACCCTGGCTGGCAGAGCTGGGGGTCATTTCCTGTGCTTGAGGACAAATCAGAGGTCTGGGGTCTTCTTTGGGAGGGGGGAGGAGGAGGATTGGAGATGTCAGTGGAGGCATCGGGGGATGCTCTAGTCTTGAGAGGAACCTTGGGGTCAGAGGTTGTATGGAAACGGGTCCCTGTGACCTCTGGAAATAAGGTGCCAAGGGAAACCTGGTCTCTCGGAGCTGCAGGTCCCAGCAGGACCACCAAGGTAGAAGTCACCGATGGGGATGCATGTGTGATAACTGACAGTGGTCTGGCCAGAGGCCAAGGTCAGGGAGCCCAGAAGTCAGACATACATGGCCCGGGACATGACGAAGCCTTTGCCCAGGTAGGACTCGGAGGGGCTCCCATAGGACAGGGCATCATAAACGGGGTTCATCTTGTCCATGTATTCCTCTTCCTCCTCTTCATCTTCCAGTTCCAGGGAGACCCCTTCCACGGTGACTGGCACTGTGGACACCATGATGGGGGGTGCCTGGCCGGTGGCCCCCAGGAGCAGAGGCCCGGAGCGCTCTTCCAGGGTGGGCAGCTCATGGTATCGAGGCATTTCCTGGGGGTGGAGGGAGGGAATGGGAGTCAAAGGTCACCGAATCCCAAGGGGACCCCAGAATCCTGACCATCTCTGCCCATGCCAACTAGACCTGGCCTCACCCTTTGAAACCCCGCCACCCTCCTCCCAGGTCAAAGAGACATACACTTTATTCCCCAAGCTCAGCCATGGGCCTCACCTTTGTTAATTTTGTCTCTGGACCCCGACCCAAGTCTTTCCCCGTGAACTTCAACCTCAATCTTGATTTTGACTGCTTCCTCTGAAGCCCAGAACCACGCCCTAGAGCCTACACTTCCCTCGGGCTCCATGTGTGGCTCTGGCCCCACGGCGGGGAAAGCCACCTGTCCTGTCCCAGCTCCCAGCACCAAAACAAACACGCGGCCAGCAGGCCAAGCCGAATGCATGGTGACCTAGTGCATGTAAGTTTCCGAGGCTGTGAATCTGTTGTGGGAACGGACAGCTCATCTTTCTCTTTCAGAGCAGTTGGTGGGTTTGAACTGCTGACCTTACAGTTAGCAACCCCAACATCCAACCCACTCGCGCCACCAAAGCTGCTGCTTCCTAGCGCCAAAACCCAAACCCACCAGTTGAATCTGTCTCATGGGGCCCTCCTCCATGATGGGATAGAACTACCCCTCTGGGTTTCTGAGGTGGTAAATCTTCATGGGAGTAGAAAGCCTCATCCATCTCCCAAGGAGCAGCTAAGGGGTTCGAACTGCAGACCTTGTGGTTAATAGCCCACAGTATAATCTACAAGGCCATCTGATGCTAGCCTCCTTGAACCTGTGACCTTTACGGTCCACCCTCGTGGTGGCCTTGGCCCTTTTCAGCCTGACCGCCGCTGCTGCATCCTGAGCACATCGCTGGCCTCCAAGCTCTGGCCTGAGAGCCACCCAGACCCCAAAGCCACCTAGCTCCTACCTGCTCGGCACACGAGACACCAGCATCAAAGTAGGGGGTCTTGAGGGGGCTGTGCTCGGAGGCCCCCAGGGTGAAGAGCTGGGAGGGCTGTGGTGGAGAGGGAGGGAAGGTCAGGACCCTCCAGCCAGTCTTGACCCTCCCAGGAGCCCCTCCCAGCCCTGGCCATGTTGGAGGAAGGAATGGTTGAGGCGGTTGGGATGTGGGAGGCAGGGTCACCCCTCCCTGGCCCTGGCCAGCTGTGGTGGTAGAACGGGAGGGTGGAGGTGGGGCAGCCTGGGCCCTGGGGGAAGTGCTCACCTTCTCTGGCTCTTCTGTTTTTGACTTCGGGCTCGGGGGGTTGTATGATGGCGGGCCCTCCAGGCTGTTGGGTAGGAGGGAGGTCAAGTGGAGACAGAGACCCCAGAAGGCAGGACTCTTCCCTCTGAGTCAGTACACAAGCTGTCCCATCTGTCCGGAACTCCCTTTCCATCCCTGCCTCTCTCCGACCCGGCCGACTCCTACTCATCCCTCTTCTGCACCCCTCAAACCCACCCTGATGCTTGGGATCCATCGGGAGCACCTGCTAAGTGGGCCCCCCACACACACTTCCTTGAGTTTGTGTGTGAATCCTAACACCAGGTCAGTGAGGGCCCCACCCTCCACCCCCAGCTGTGAGCTAGGGGTGGGGAAGGCCAAGTCCCCTTGTCTGAAGAATGGAGGAGAGAAGAAAGGAACAGTGCTTTCCTGTCCCTAAGGGCAGGGTCAATGCCCTCATTCCACAGCCCCCACCCCCCACTCGCGGACCAGAATATCCTGCGAACAGGAAGGAGGAGGAGGCTGGAGGTTGGGTGGTGGTGGTTTCTGTTAGCGGCTGTCCAGCTGGGCCCAGTTCCAGTGGAATGTAAGGCTGCCCAATCCAGTGCCAGCCCCATTGGGATCTTCAGGCTTTGTGCTGGCTGATTTTTGGAAGGAGATCGCCAGGCCTTTCTACCTAGTCAGTTGGAGTCTAGAAGCTTCGTTGAGACCTACTGTGGCCGTTGCGTCATCGCCTGTCAACTTGCGAAGGGGCGGAGTCTAGTCCATCAATCAGGTCACAGCCAATGAGGCCTCTGTGTGTGGGCGTGGCCTTCTCCTGAGGATCCTGGGAACTCCTATCTTCCTCCCGGGAGGCGGGAGCACACTCTCTGCTGCACATTCCTGTTGACAAGCCCCATGGAGCTATGCTGATGGCAGCCAGAGCCCTGGAGCTGGAGGAGCCATGTGGAGACCCACGCCAGCTCTAGCTAAGGTGCTTCCACCGCCACTGGAGCCACAAGACTTTCCACCCACTGGCCTGTGATCTTCCTGCACTTGGTGCAAGTCATTCCATGTGTTGTATGAGTCTGAAGAGGAATTTGCAGACTGGTATTGGACATGTGGGCTATATCGGACTTATGGACTTGATCAGGACTGGGCTGGGATGTTTTCTTAATATACAATGACTCCTCTATAAAGCTCTTTCTTATACACAAGTGGTTCTCAACCTACCTAATGTCGTGACCCTTAAATACAGTTCTTCGTGTTGTGGTGACTGCTCCCCCCAACCATAAAATTATTTTCATTGCTTCTTCATCACTGTCATTTAGCTACTGTTATGAATCGGGCGATCCCTGTGAAAGGGTCGTTCGACCCCCAGAGGGGTCACGACCCACAGGTTGCTGCCTTACACCTATGCGTGCCTCTGGGCTTGTTTCTCTAGTCAACGCAGACACACACCCACTCTGCCTCAGAGCCACACACAAGTGTCCACGGATGGGTGGGGTGGCCGCCCGTGGCGTGCTCTGGTTGGGAATCCCGTGGCAGGGTATCTGTGGTGCAGTGAATCCCTCACTCAGCCTGACCCTGCCTTCTCCATGGTCTCACGGCAGGAAGCAAACCTGCCGCACCAGACAGGCTTCTTTGGAAGGGTTGGGAACAGCAAGGAGGTTGCTGAGGGCTAAGGGGCGCCTGACGCCCGGCTACGGTGCTTTCCCACGCCTCCTAAGCCTATGAAAGGGGGACACCCAATAAAGAAGACCGGCCGGGGAAGAAGCGATGTCTTTGAACGGATGTGCTGGTGAAGGAGGTTGGAAACACCAGGGACGGCTGGAGAACAGGCAGATCCGTCTCGGGGAAGACGGGCGGCCAGCGTGCTCCTGCACTTGGGACGTGAGGTCAGGCGAGACCCGTCCCTGGAGAAGGACATCATGCTTGGTCAAGTGGAGGGGCAGCGCCAGGGAGGCCCCGGAGGAGGCGGATGGACGCCGTGGTTCACACGTCACAGCTCTGGGGAGAGTGCAGGGCCCGGCGGGGTTTCCTTCGGTTGTCCACAGAGTCGCTAGGAGTCAGAACCAACCGGACGGCACCCAGCGATGGAGCCCTGGTGGCGGAGGGGTTAGGCGTTGGGCTGCGATCTGCACGGTCGGCGGTTCGAAACCACCAGCAGCGCCCGAGGGGTTGAGACCGGGTTGCCTACTCCCGCCAACGGTGACGGTCTCGGGGGATCCACAGGGGAGTGTGACGAGTCAGCGGTGGCCCCACAGCAGTGTGGGAGTCACAGCGGCAGCGGGCCACGGCCTTGTGATGCCCGCCCGCCCGCCGGAGGACTGGGTTAAGAGCAAAAATAAAAACATCAAACAGCGATCGGGCCAACCGTGCCTCGGAGCAACAGAGGGCAGGGCTGCTCCTGCGGGTTTTCCGAGACTGTCAGCTCTGCAGCGGGGGCAGAGACCTCCATCTCGCCCGCAGCGGGGCTGGTGGAGCCAGACTGCTGGCCTTGCAGTTAGCCGAACACGTAACCACTGGGCCACCGGGACACCTTGCTGATTGGATGGGCGCCTATGTGAATGAGGAGCATTTGACCTTAATGAGGGGATTGGTCGGTTTTGCCATCCCAGTAGGTTTAAAATGAGCCATCCCAGAGGTTAGAAGGGGGACCATGCGACCACTAAGAGACAGGAAAGGAGGTGTTCTTGGGACCCCAGGGTCACTCGGCTGGGAGCCTCTTAGACTCAGGAAACAGGTGCTGTAACACTGAAGATGGCAGAGAGGCGGCCTAAACAGAACCAGGAGGCCACCAGGAAATGGTGCAATGGCCCAAGGGGCCGAGGAGGTGAGAGAGCAGGAAGCTTGCTGGTGGTGTGGGGTGTCCTTGGCTCTAGCTAACACAGCTCAAGAGTTTTGTTAACACTTGCCCGAGCAGGGCAGCAGCCTGGCTGACCCAAGGGACAGAAGGCCAATAGGCCAGGAAGAGGCCTGACCAGAGAACTGTATCCTGAATCGTTTCCAATCCTGTTGCTCCCCACTGTGCCCCATCATTGTGAGAACGGCCTGTGAAGTTGTGTGTGCCTCACGTTGTCCAGCGAAGCAGAGCAGGCTGGGGGAGGGATGGTTGGTGTCTCCCCGCAAAACTCACTGCCACTGAGTGCGTGCCAGCTCAGGGAGTCTGTAGGACAAGGTGGAAGCGTCTCTGTGAGTTTCTGAGACGGTGATGCTTGAAAGGAGGGGGAAGCCTCGTTTTCCCGGGAGCAGCTTGGTGGTTTTGAACAGCTAACCCTGCAGTTCTCGGTCCAGCAGGGAACCTACTGCTCCAGCAGGGGCTGCGGTCAGAACTGGGGAAAAGATGGGCGGGTGGACGCCTGTGTAACCCCCACCCTCCCACTGAGATCAGCCTGTGCTTGCTTCTCCTTCTGGGTGAAGGTGAGGAGATAGATCTAAGGACAACCCTAACTGCCGCTGTTTTTATCATCGTTGTCTCCCCTCCGGGAGCCCCAGTGAAGAAATGATTCTCACTCTGCCATGGAGCGCGTGCTGACTCATAGCGACCCCATGTGACTGACTGAGAGACTGCAACCCGTTTTCCTCCCTCAGAACTGCTGGTGGTTTCGAACTGCCGGCCATGCGGATCGCAGTCTAACGCGGAACCACCTAACAGCCCTAACTGACTAATGGCAGAATGGCTGACAGCCTCGAGGTCAGCAGTTCTAAATCACCAGTGGCTCCTCGGGAGAAAAACAGGGTTTCTACTCCCGTCTCGGAAACCCACAGGGTACCTCTACCCCGTCTTGTAGGGTGGCTGTGAGTTGGCGTCAACTTGAGGGTGGTGCGTGAGAATCACTTCGAGGGTGCCTACACCCAAGGGTGCTCATATCCACTTCCTTTGATTCCAACTCCTAGCAACCTTATATAAGGTTTTCGAGACTGTCCACCTTTATGGGAGCAGATGGGCCTCATCTTTCTCCCAAGGAGCGACTGGAGGGCTTGAACTGCCCACCTGGCAGTTAGCAGACCAATGCGCTTACCCATCAGTGCCACCAGGACAGACGTGTAAAATTTGCCTCATTGTGCTTTAACAAGTGTTCTACTCAGGAAGTCTGGGAGACTTTACTCAGAAGAGGTATTTCCCCAATCCATGGTCATGGATATTTGAACAGAGATTCTACTTGGGCTCATATCCCCACCCCACCCCAGTAAAGACTACGTTTCCCAGCATCCTTTGCAGCTACAGCTAACCATGAGACTAAGCTATGGTGAATAAGTGTAACTCCCAGCTATTCCCATCCTGGGCAGCCACGCATGCTCCCTCTCCTGTCCACCTCCTCACTGGCTGAAGTACCAGGGACCTTGGGGGCAGGAGGGTAGTCATGTGCATAGAGCCTGACGGGAATGGCCCTACCTAGGATGGAGAGCTACCTTGGAATGAAGACAGGGGCCAATTACAGGGAAGGTGGAGAACATCAAGATAGCAAGAGCCTGAGGTCAGACGACTTCCCGGAGTAGAACCATCCTACCATCTCAGGCCTCTACAGGAGAGAAGAAACCTTCCCCCCCCCCACCTGTAAGTCACGGTTGTGGGGGGGCTCCTGGGTTCCACAGTTACCTCGGACCTTCCTCTCCCACCTTCCCCCCACCCCGAGGTCTGGCTCCTTCCTACCCTCCCTGCTCCTCAGGGCCCATCACTCACTCCTCCTCCTCCTCTGCCCCCTGCAGCCTCTGCTCCTTCTGCTGTTGCCTGCAGATGAGGATGCCCGTGGCGACCACGGCCGTCGCGATGATGGTGGCGATGATGCCCCCAATGATGCCACCGGTGGCCCCTGCGCCAGCTGTGCTGGGGGTCTCTGCAAGGCAAGAGCGACAGCGTAAGGGGGTCTCCAGGAGGAAGCTGCAGCTCCTGAGTCTCAGGGCTGCCCCTTACCTGCCTACCCACCCCCTCTCCACAGGGCAGGGGACCCTTCCCGAACATCGGCTGTGTGTCCGGCTTGGGTAGCAGAGGGGCGGACATGCCTTTCACAAAAAGGCCCACACCATCGGGACCGGGAAACAGGCATCAGAAGACCCCAAACAAACAACAACAAAAACATACTGTTGAGAACAAGGGGGATTGGAGCAAGAGACCCAAGCCCATCTGTAGACAATGGGACATCCCCTCACAGAAGGGTCACGGGGAAGAGATGAGTCAACCAGGGCGCAGTAAAGCACCAATGAACCACACAGTACTCCTCTGGTTCCTTGAGGCTTCCTCACCCCCCACTATCATGACCCCAGTGCTGCCTCTCACTGCAGTTTAGACCGGAGCATGGGCACAGATAAAGATACGAGCTCACAACACACGGAATCCAGGAATTGGAATGGGAGTAGCAATACCAGGAGGGTAGGGAGAAGGTGGGGAGAGGAGAGGATGAAGGGGGAACCAATCGCGATGATCAACACACACCCGGGGGGGGGGGCGAACAACAGAAACTGACGGGGAAGGGAGGACAGCGGTTGGTGTAAGAAAAGAAGATAATAGTCATGTATCATTTCTCAAGGGATCAAGAGGGTAGGCACGGGGGTAGGGAGGGGGGAAGAGAAGCCAATCCCAAGGCTCAAATATAAAGTGTTTAGAAAAGAATGATGGCAACCTATGTACAAACAGGCTTGATACAATTGATGTATGGATTGTTGTAAGAGTCCCTAATAAAACTAACCCATGTACAAACAGGCTTGATACAATTGATGTATGGATTGTTGTAAGAGTCCCTAATAAAACTAACCCATGTACAAACAGGCTTGATACAATTGATGTATGGATTGTTGTAAGAGTCCCTAATAAAACGATCTTTTAATAAATTAAAAAAAAGATTAAAAACAAATATTTAGTGGAATTTCCCAGTTGGGGGAGGGGAGGCGGGAGGGGAGCCCACACCCTCCTGGAAGGTCTGTTCTGGTGGGGAAGAAAGACCACGAATGTGCACTAAGACACCGAGCTGGTACAAGTGACCTAAGACCTCTATACACGGGATGGAATCAGGAAGTGCTGGAGTCAGAAGCCCAAAGCAATTTTCATCAGGGAGGCCTGGGAAGGCATCCTAGAAGTTGACCTGTCAGCCAAGACCGGAAGGGGAAGTCGGGGTATGCCAACAAGAGGAGAGAGCCCACAGGAGCCGGGGGTACGGTCAGGGCAAACCCAGTGCTCAGATCTGGACCCAAGCTCCCTGGTTCACGATGGAAATTGAGTCATCTGAGTGGAGGCGGAGAAAGTGGCTGAGAGATGCTGACAGGCGGACCTCTCCTTCTGAGCACCTAAAGAAGTGTTTAGGGAGCAATTGACCCATTCACTTGTTAATTTCCACACTCATCCCAGGGAGCTTCAGGCCCTGTTCAGCCCAAGGCATCTCCAGCCAGGTCCCATTGGGGGCTGAGGTGCAGATGGGCGCCCATTGGGTGGCTCTGACTCTGGCATTAGCTAAGGGGAGTCACGCGGGCACACACACGCGCGTACGCACACGCATGCTTGCAAAAACTCCCACAGCTTTCACCCTGTCCATCAGCCCCATGCTACAGATGGAAAGATAAAAGTTCCAGGAGGGGGGGAGCTGATACCAAGGGCTCAAGTAGAAAGCAAATGTTTTGAGAATGATGGTGGTGGCAGATGTACACATGTGCTTGACACCATGGATGGATTGCGGTAAGAGTTGTAAAATGAAAAGAAAAAAAAAAGAGTTGTAAAATGATTTTTAAAAAAGAAAAGGAAATTTAAAACATAGGCAAAGGAATCTCCTGGGCAGTAGAACACAACAAAGTTTAAATAACATGTAAAATAAAATGATTACTTGACAACAACAAAAAATGTCCGCAGAGGAGTAAAGCCTGGGTCCCCATTGGTCCCTGAAGTGGACTCACAGCGACCTCACGTTGTGTGAGATGACAGCACGCTTTTGCCAGGCTGTGGCCTGGTGGCACAGTGGTAAAGTGCTCAGCACCCTAACCCTAGGTCTGACGGTTCGAAGCCCCCAGCCACTCTGTAGGAGAAAGGTGTGGCAGTCCTGCTTCGAGAACGATTTCCATTGCCTTTGGAAACCCTATGGTTGGAAACCCTCCTCTTTCTCCAGTGGTGCGGCCGGTGGTTTTGAACTGCTGAACTTGTAACGAGCAGCTCAAGGCATGCCCCTCGTCAGTTCTACCCCGTCTTCTGGGGTCACTAGGACGCGAGGAGTGGGAATGGACCGGACAGTAATGAGGTTTAGTGTTTGCTGTGGTTCTCTTTTGTTACCATTTGAAAACAGATCACCAGGACTTTCTTCCAAAGTGCCTTGGCCTGGATGGGAATGTCCAGCTTGTTCGTGGCCCAGGGCCTAATGCCCAGGTATGGATTTCAGATCTCCCACTTCCTGTTGGGCAGCCTGGCGCTGGAGAGCGGAGGAAGGAACACTCATTGCCATCATGCTGACTCGTGGCCAGTTGATTCGAGTCAGAGACCCCGTGGAGGAGTGGAAATGCCTCCTGTGGATTCCCAAGACTGTAATTCGTCACAGGAGTAGAGAGCCCGGTCTCTCTCGAGCTGTGGCCTGTGGGTTTGGACCCAGCCTTGTGGTTAGCTGCGCAGAGTGTGCATTACACCACTGGGTTCCCTGCCATCATTCTGAAGTGACGGATTATCCCTGGGCCGCTATTGCCCACACATGCCCGGAGGGCAGCCCTGGGTGTCTTGGTCACCCCACCCCCACGTCTACAGCACCATCCAGTGCAGCACCTAACGAGTAAATGGGACCAAACAGGTGGTAGTTTAAATGAGTTTGGTGGCTCAGCCCCACTGGGATGGCATTTCCAGCACTTCTCCAGTGAATCCCTCCACCAACCAGCACCTCTGACAAAGTGCCCCTTCACCAGAGGCAGGCAGCCAAGGGCAAAGGGGACTTGCCCAGTCACTTGGCATGGGAGGCGGTGCTGGCACTCGAACCCTGCTCCTTCCCTTCCACTGCGTCTGGGGTGGGGTGGGGGGGTGGAGGTTATTCTGGCTGGAGAGTGTGGGAAGTGGCACACTGGGACACCTCCCTGTGAGCCACATCCCAGCTGGGGTTGGGGATAAAGAGGAATGGGGGGGGGGAGGCCACTTGTAGGTGGTGGAGGTGGGGGTTTCCCTGACCCCTCATACTTTTTGGGGTCTCAGAACCGGGAGCAGTCTTTCTGTTAGACACACGTACCCAGCCCCAAGGCCAGCCCTGCTCCCCTGCCACTTGCCCTGGGACGGAGTCCAGGCACTTGGGCAATGGAAACCAGACCAGCTGACCTGGTTCCCTGCCCCTTGACCTGCAGGCAGCGGTGGGGAGAGTGGTGTGTGTGTGTGTCTCTCTCAGGTGTCCAAGGGACCAAATGCTGAGACCCAGCACCAGGCCACCTCTCTCATGACCTGGGAGAGACCCACGACCCCCCTCGTCTCTAAACTCCTGGGGATCCAAGAGTTCACCCTCACCAACCCCTGGGACTCAGTTGCCCCTGCCCCACCCCACCCCCACCCGACTTTGTTGTCGTCCCTCCCCCCAGCCAAGACCCAGGGTGAGGTCCGAGGTATTACAAGACACCCCACTACTTTCTTCCAATGTGTTTATTAACTCCTGAGTGGCATGGGCAGGCCAGAGCCAAAACCAGTCCTTGGGGCCCCTTCCTGGGTCCCGGTAGTGGTGGCCCAGCCCTGCCAGGCAGCCCCTGCCAGGCAGCCCCCGCCCCGGGCCAGAAGTCCAGTGCACGTGACGCCCTCCCGCCACTCCGAATCCCAGCACAGGTGGGGGGGGAGTACGCCAACATTCCAGTTCCAGTGCTGTCCAGACTAACAGGTCCAACCAGTCCAGAGCCTTCTATGGTTCCACTGGAAGGGTGTGTGTGTGTGTGTGTGTGTGTGTGTGTGTGTGTGTGTGTCTGTGTGTGGTGTCCTCCCGGCTGTCTGTCTCTGGGTCACACGTAGACTGCCCGCCTCGAGATTATGGAGCCGTCCAGCTGGGACTCCATGTCGTCCTCCAAGAGTTCCTTGGGCGGAGGTAGCATCAGGCCTTCCTCTGCCTTCTCTTCCTCCTCCTCCTCCTCATCATCGTCCTCCTCCTCCTTGCCATCTGGCCTCAAAGGACCAGGGTCTGATGGGGTCCAGAAAACAGGACCCCCATTCCCAAACACCTGAGTTTTCGGATCCAGTGACCCTCTGCCATCGTCTCCTCCTTCTCCTCCTGGGCTTTTCCTCCGCCTCCTCTTCCTCAGCAGGATGAAGGCCAGGGACCCCCCAGCCAGCAGCAGCAGCACCACGATCGTCCCCCCCACGGCCCCCCACACCTCTGGACCCACGGCTCGGGGCAAGGCCCGGGGGGCGTCTGAGGAGAGAAAGGGGGTGAGAGAAAGGAAGATACGAGGTCAAGAGGAGAGTTTGGAGTGGGGAGGGAAGACACAGGATAAGTGGAGGGACGGATTAGGGGCCTGCGGAGCAGGAGGTCCCTGCCTGGGCAGAGTAGTAGAGGAAGGGTGGACGGGGGCAGAGAGAGGGGCTTCCTTTCTGCTGTAGGCTGGGTGGGGCTCCAAACTGGTGTCCCCCACCCCCCATTGCACTGCCTCACACCTGTGCATGGCTATTCACAGCTGAGGGCACCGGTGCCCTTTCCGAATGTGCACCAGATGGGCCACCCAGCGCGCTCTGGGCTGAGAGGGGCAGATGTTCTTGTTGGTTGTCCCCCCCTCACCCCCGACTGAGACCTTTCAGGGACCATTTGCCAAGCCTTTCTCTGAGGGACCTCATTATGTGCACCACCCAAGGACCGCCCGTCCGTGTCTCTCGCCTCCCCCAGGGCACCCCCAAAGAGGCTAAGCTCAGTGGGGGTCTATGGGGGGAAGGGGCGATAGACAGAGGAAGCAGGAGAGGGGTGAGGAGGGGAGGGGTGCCCTAAGCAAAAAACAAGACACGATGCCACCAGAACCTTCTCCTGCATCTGCCTTGGCCCGCCCGAACATGCAGGGCCCGACGGGAGGGATCTCCGAGGTTCCCTGGTACCCGTGACTCCCCACCCTCAGGAAGGGCTAAGAAAACAGACCTGCACTGGAGGGGGGTCTGCGCATGTGATATTCTCAAACCCGGCCCCCCACCCACTGGGCTATCAAATCAGGTTAGTCCTCTCCTTTGTAAAAGGAAAATCTCAAGCAGGAAAGGTACGCTAAACACACACATCCTGGCTTGGGTTTTGCTGTAAAAACCTGGGAGTGGGGGAGGCTGTGGAGTTGTGACCCAGGGAAGAGCTGCCCTGAGGGCTTTTCCAAAACTAAATCTTGAGGGGAGCAGACCGCCACCTCTTTGTCTCAGGGCCGTTTTGAATTGCTAGCCTCTTCGGCTCACAGCCAGGTGCTCAATCGTTGTACCACAAGTTACGGTGTGTGCATGTGTGTGTACACAGACACACTAGGGTGCTTCGAAAAGTTCACAGGATAAATGGAATGAAAAGATAACCCTCAATGTCTGAGTTATGCCACCAACTGCAAGTTCAGCGGTTCAAACCTACCAGTGGGCTCCTCGAGAGCAAAGTGAGGCTGTCTGCTCCCGTGTAGAGTCCCAGACTCGGAAACCTACAGGGGCAGTTCTACCCCATCCTGTAGGGTCGCTCTGAATCAGAATCGACTCCAGGGCCGTGGCGTGTGTGTTTGGGTTTTCACTTTCATAGCAGTGCCCAGCGATGCGGCAGGTGTCTCCGGAGGCCCACCTCCTGTGGAGGGCGGCTCCCTGCGTGCCTCCAAGTCCGACTGCCCCAGCGGGTTTTCAGGGCTGGTTTCTTAGACATCGATTCTTCGGCGGCACAGGTGGGTGGTGGGCGGCTCCAACCTCCAACATGCCACCCAGGGACGCCCCTGTACGAGAAGTGCTGGCCGGTCCAAAACATGGCGGGGAGCCAGGCATCCGAGGCGTGGCCGCTGGGCCGTGCTTCCGCAGGTGTGGGGCGGGAACAGGCAGCCCAGGGTGTCCTGTCTCTGCAGCTTTAAAGTCGGCTTGGGTGTCCTGCTATAGCTTTGGTTGTGTGTGTGTGTGTGTGTGTGTGTGTGTGTGTGTGTGTGTGTGTG